GAAATCAATCTTAACCTCTTTTCAGTTGAGACTTTTTTTAAGTAATAACCGGAAGATGAGAAACTGGAGAGAGAGTGTATAACTCACTCTTTGGAGAAGTCTGGCTATAAAAAGCAAGGAAAACTCATTTGCAGCTAAAGCTGTATGCGGGGTCCAGGAGGGTTTATTTAAAAAGGGAGATCATTGGGTGTGTTTGTAAACTAATAAAAATGGACCAAATGAGAGGGAAAGATGGATGGTATAGGAAAGAGAGGACATAGCCTAGAAACAGTCTTTGGTGAGGAAAGGGCTTTGATAAGGAGTAAGGGCTCACAGCACATGTGGAAAAACAAGTCCTTGAGGGAAGGAGAAACAAACTTCTATTGTTTCAGAAAAGAATAAAATGATACAGACATGGAAGTTTAGGAGGAAAGGTTGACGATGTTCCCCTTTGTTGATTTTTGTTTTCTCACCGAATCTGAAGCAAGGTCTTCAGTGGAAGTTCAAGAAACTAGATGTGAGTCCGTAGGGGGCACATGAAAGATCAAGCTTCAGAGAAAAGCAGCAGGAGAGGGTGCCAGGGCTCAGCCTGCACTGACAGTGGTGATCATGAAGTGACACTTTTCCAAACTTCCGGTCATGTAGCAATACTTGGCTGTGTGGGCAAACACGGGGAGATGGCGCAAGCCTGGGCCTTCCAGGAGCATGGACTTGCCAGGCGATAATGTGACAATGCCATTATATAAAAAGTTATATGATTAAATTATCATGGGTTCAAAGTGGATGGGGAGGAGGGGTATGAAGACAAAGGAGGGCAGAGGGATAGAGAGAGAGTCGGCTAAAGCTCACAGGGTCTTCATAGGTGACTGAGGAGGTTAACAGGAATGGTGAGGCACTGCTCAGAGAATGAGACGCATGAATTTACTCTGAAATGTCTACGTTAAAACTGAAGGAGTGAGGGGAACACACAGCTGAGTTGGAGTGGAGCGAACACTAGGTGGGGGTGAGACGGCCAAGACACTGAGAGGGTTGGCTAAGCCATCTACAGGATGTTGAAGGTACTGAGAACTGAGCAGGAGTAGATAAAACACTGTGATCAGGTCCGTATTTTAGAAATTTCCAGCCACAGTGGGGAGGAAGGACTGGGAGGGATGGAGGCTGGAGAAAGGGAGGCCATTGCTGAAACCCTGTGAGGTCATGGGGGTTCAGATCAAGACGGCAGGAGGAAAGGTGGAAGGAAGTGGAAGCCGTCAGGAGATGCTGAGACAGCAGAAGGGCTTTGTGTTTGCTGGTGGGAGGTGGGAGTGAGGAAGGAGTCAAGGCGTCAAGGTCAGGTGGCTGAGGCAGGTGCTAGTAAAAGGGGGGAAAGAGACGGAAGAGCTGCTCTGGGAACCATCTCAACTGGTGCTAAGTCCCCTCACCAGTATGATACAAATATATCACAGAAGTGATCAAAATTAATACCTATATATCAAAATTCCAGCTAAGGTTTATAGTTTGAATGTTGATAATACATTTCAGTGGCTTGATACAGTTTCCCTATAGCAGCAGCACACAATGAAGGTTTTCAAGTCTAGAAGAAAAATTAAATTATTAATAAATTTGGTCTCAACAAAATTGCTTTGCCTGAAGATTAAAGGACTCCCAAACATCATAAAGATTAAATATTAAAATAAGTTGTTTCATTTTCTTGATAGATGAGTCAATATCTGGTTCTTAAATCTGCATTTTAAAAATCAGTTAAAAAGCATAACGTCAGTGAAACTTGACTGGACTAATATTTTGCAACTCTCACTAAAGAAATTAACATTGTGCTCCATAAGAAACCACTTAAATATTTAACAAATGAATATGAAACTTTGTTGCATGTTATGTTTTCTTAATGACAAGTTCATGTTCACTGTGAGTATAGGTCTGAAAAAGAGCTATTTTTCTAAGAAGTTACTTTCATATATCTTCCATGTGCTGAATCTTAACCTTCCGAATACCATGGAAAATCAACCTGCATAGTAAGACTCTGTGGTTCATTCAAATAATAACCCAATATCCAAGTTAATTACTGTGATTTAATTATGGCATCTTCTCCTTTTTCAGAATATTTATAAATTAGTCTTTATGTAATCCCAAGGTACATGATGAATGCAAATCAAAGGACAGTTTAGTTATAAATACTAATGACTCACGCAAAGTAACTTTGGGTATGGAATTTCATAACAATCAACTCTTGTCTTTAATTCTTCATATTGCTTGATTATAGATGTTGCAGTCAGGCCTGAGTATATTTCATTCTTTTTGATGGAAGCTTAGAAATTTTAGCATTATAATAATAAAATTTTTAAAAATACAACATAATCTGTGAAAGTTCTTGAAATTTCCATTTGGTTGTGAAATACGTTCTTCTGTAATAATTAAGGACATAACGAATTTAAGGCCAAAGAACAGCTGCTTTATAACATTTATGAGAAGAAACTTACATTATTGAGAGGAAGCAAGAAATTTTTAACATAAATGTAATTGGATTCCACTAGACCCCTTTTCTATCAGTCTTTTAAAGACAGGTCTTTCTGATACAAATTTTTCAATAGCTATTAAAGAAATTCAGTGCTTTCCTTCCTCACTTGTAATGTAAGTGTTTAAGGGCATATGAAATTCTTAAGGCATTTTATTTTCAGGCTTACATGACTAATTATTAGGGTGGCTGTAACCACTGTAGCTTCAATAATTTATAACTAATTCTCAATTATTACTTTATGCAGTTTAGCTCTATACATGGAACTACACTCCAGGAAAGTCTGCAAATAAACATTGCATTTACCATTTGGAGTGCTAAGATTTAATAAAGATGTCAAAGACTTGAAGAGGTCTGTGAAGGCTAGAAACAATTAGTATTTAGTAAATATTTCTGGGTAAAGAAAGATTGCCAGATTCTGAATTGATTTCTCCCCAAATAATTAGAAGGTGGTTAAAAACAAAAATAAGTATTTGAAGTTGTACTAAAATTGTGGACCATCTGTGTCACTCTTACCACGACAGAGCACGAGAAATGGGTGAAAGTTAATTACAGTAGGCAGCGTTCATTGAGGGCTTGCAGTGTGCTAGGCAGTACTCTGAGCACTTTATTATGCCTTCATCAGTCCCTGTAACTAACCTATGAAGTAGACACCATTACAGCGCCCCCTGGAGAGATGAGGGACCTGCGCGTTCGTAGGAGCAGTTTGCCCACGGTCTCCAGAAGGCCATGCCTGCCTGACCGCAAAGGCTGTTGCTCCTCCACCCTCCCCTTTCTCTTCTCCAGCCAGGACCACGTGGTAGTTAAGAACACAGACAGTATGCTCTCCCAATTCTTCTTTAGCCATTAAAAAAAAAAACAAAAAACATGGCATATCTCACGGTTGTTCAGAAATTTAGAAATTGGCTAAACATGACGACATAGGGCCCCTTACAAATGTGATCCAATTAGCATCGAGAAGCTTGATCCTAACACCGTGAACGCTCTTGACTTTAGAAGTCAACAGTAACAATAAAGAAAGCTGACCGTCAATAGGATGCAGTGGGGAAAGTGTAGCCACTTCTGCCCATAAGTGTTCTACTTTGAGCCCCTGCTGCTCAGAGCCCCTAACCGTCCAGCTGGACACGGGGACACTGATCCCTGAGATTCAGGGAAAGCAGGCCCTCTTCTGCAGAAATTTTCCTTTAGTCTTAAGGAGCACTAAAGATTCCTCTGGCTTCATGGCTGTTACTTTTTTCCTTTCTGTCCTTGGAGAATGGTTATTTAATTTTGGAGTCAAAGAGCTGGAACAGCCTACCAAGGTTTTCTGATGAACAACTCCAGCTCCAGGTAAAAATGTCCCCCTCAGCATCTCTGGACAGGGTGTCCCAGCCTGTGTGAACCCTCCAGGAGCCAAGTCAGCTTACACAGAGGGCCGTCCGAACACAGAACAGCTCTAATTATTAGCCTCCTCGTTCTCAGCCATAATTTGCTTCTCTTTCATTTCCAACCTCTGTACCCAGGCAATCGCTCTTTCACAGTCAACCTTTCAACTTCCGAAGACAGCAGTCAAAATCTCCTTTCAGTCTCAAATGCTCCAACTCATCCCCAGTTCCTCCAAACATGTCTCATTTGGCATGGAAAGCCAGACCCTCTATCGCTTGTCAACCTGTTCTGTCAGCGACCATCTTAAAATGCATTCCGCCCCCAGAACTGCTCAGAATGCCACAGACATCATCTAGGGAGTGCCAAGCCCAGTGGAGCAAATGCCACCTTATAGGCAGGACATCATTCTGTCACGGACACAAACTAAGATTGCATTGAGTTTGGGGCAGACAAGTCGCACGGCTCAGGCACTGAGCTCACAAAGCGCTGATCATGAATTCACGTTAATGTGTTTACAGTTCCTCTGTTACATTTGTCATGTACCCTGTCAATGACCGAAGCATCCTCCAGCTCTACAGCCAAAGCTTTACTCAACATTTACTTTCCCATTATCTTGCCCTACAAATAACCAGACTCTTGACTCTGTATAAAACTAACAGCTACCATATATTGAGCTCCTACTACGCGCGGGAGCTGTGCCAACCCCTTACACGCCTGACCTCCCGGCGTCCCCACAGGATAAGGACTGTCTCATCATATCCATTTTTCAGATGAGGAAAGTCAGGCTCCAAGAGATTGAATGAGTTTTCCAAGGTCACGGTGCTAGTAAACAGCAAAGCCAGGATTTAAACCCAGTTGTGTCACGGCCCCAGAAGCCCCACTAATCCTGTTCTTTCTGTGTCTCAACAATGCTGTCCTCAAACATATTCTGTTTTGCAGTTGCAGCTGCTCATTTGCTCTGACCCCATTATCTGGAAATACCACGAAGCTAACTTGGGATAGACTGAGCTACCACCATGAAATGAACACCTTGAGCTGTTTACTGCATAGTTAATCCATGCAAAACTAAACACAATAAATTATAAGCAGAATAGAGACAGATGCATGTATAATTAATGCTTTTTTCTCAGTCCCCAAAAACTCTTACACAGTTGCCTGAGATAAACTGTCTCCAGGATGAATTGTTCTGGGTTCCTCCTCTTTTCTTTTTTGCTGGGGTTTTGCTGAAGCCTTTTCTGCTCCTGTCGTTTGCCGACCTGCTCTGGGACAGTCACACCTTAGTATCTGGGCCTTGGCACTATTTGTATAAAATGAGTAGTCTTTTCCTCTGCAGTTGTAAGTCCATGGTATGCGTCAATATTGTCCCTCCCACATGCTTTGCAAGACAGACTTGACACTAATCACCACCCTTACCCGGGGACTTGTACCCCTTCAGTCTGTGACACTGTGGCTTTGCCCCTGGGGTTGGGGTGGGGGTCCTCCTGTTCAGTTCCCTTTGTGTCCTGCCCCGTCCCTTGTCAAGGAGGGAGAGGATGTTAATTTCTCTGTTTGGCAAAAAGAAGATCTTACAACTCAGATGCCAGCTAACACAGATTTCTCCATGGGGCAGAAAGTCACGGCCAGGATACTTCCCATGGATTAAAACTCAACATCTTTGCTGATGGCAACAGATCAGAGGTTTGAGAGTGTAACCCTTTATGCCAGTGTCCACATGCACTGCTTACGCCACATCAGGTTATATAATGTGCAATGAGAAAAGTATTTCCCTATTCTCTTCTATCCCCTCCCTTTCTTCTGACAAACTATACAGACTACGAACTAAAAGCCATAGAAAATATGGCATAAAATCAACAGCACATTACACTGTGCCCTGGACAGTTATCTCTTTGGGCAGATGAGCATGAGTTCCTCCCTTCTTTTAATAACAGCACCGTGGTGTTCTTTTTAAGGAATTACCTCTCCTGCACTGCGTTCAGCAGAACAAGATCACTGAGTGAGGAGCCCTGCTTGCAAACCCTAGGGGGGAAGAAAGTAGAGGGTATAATCATACTGATCCAGCCAGAGACGCCTCCCGGGAGCTTGAGCGCTGGGCCCCTACTCATACATGAGCAGCACGCATGGATTCCTGGAGCCCCCCTCCTTTTCCTGCTCTGAACCTAATTTTCCAGTTCGGCTGCCTCTCCACATCCTTCCAACAAATTCTCCTTTTAGCCAAAGTCAGTTTCTGTGGCTCGCGTCCAAATAACTTCGACGGGTACCCAGGTCTGGTTGGCCTCCACAGTGCCACCCCTCACCAACGATGCCTGTGTCTGAACCGCACGCACACCAGATGACATCTTCATCTGTGGAAGCAAAACTGGAAACCAAACTGAGTATTTCTGTCAGCTTCAGCATGTTGCCCAAACAAAGCTAAATGTCAACGCGAAACGGGCTTTGCTTAAGCAGTGCGCTCTCTGCGTTTTGCGGCAGAGTGTGCAGTCTTCCCACCGCTTAGCGGTCCTCTTGGGAAAGGACGCCTCCTTTCTTTGATTTAAGCTCTTATGAAAGCCACTCATCTGAGTTCTGAGCTTGCTGTTTATCTGTCTTCATTGTGGAGAGAAAAGGGGTGGCTTATTAAGGAAAAGAAAGACAAGTTTCTGGCAGATTTCACTGTAAGTAACAGTGGAGGTGAAGAGTTTCTGGCAGATTCCATGAGCAGGGGACGGTGAGAAGACCCTGTTACTTCTTGGTTTAGTCCACTTCAGACAGACTAAAGCCACTAAGCACCTCCAGGCAGGCTGAATTTTTTCCTATCTGGATAATACCTGTTTACTTATAAAGCCAAAATCAGCCTTTAAAAGCCGCCTCCTCATTGCTATCTACGTCCGAGTTTGCAGACTTCCCCCCAAGTTCATGAGCGAAACAAGAATTGGTGCTAGATGTCACAGAGAGAGGCCAGGACGTCCCGAGACTTGGGGGAGGAAGACCGTAGCCAGCACCGTCCACTATATCCTGTGTGCGTCATTCAGTCCCGTTTCCTTCCTGTCGGGGAGGTGTCAGAGCCAGGAATTCACTTTATTAATTCAGTGTGATCTGTTTTCCATCTTCTTCCTCACACCTGAAGCATGTGCTGTCAGTTTCTATCACTACGGCCACACATAGGAAACTCCTGCCACTTACAGAGAGCAGGAAGCCGGATCCAAGAAGCCTCATTTTTACCCTCTTGAATACTTTTCTGCCTCACTCGTGTAACTTTGGCAGAAATACAGTGTAAGAGTATTGCGATATAATACGGCAATTAGTAACACTGGGGGCCAACAAAAGATGTAATGCAACGTGACGTTTCTTTCACCTCCAACACGTTAGGTTTAAGCAGCAGAATACGAACCACGGATGCCTTCATCTTCACACCACCAAAGACACCCATCAAAATAATGACAGCATCTGAAAAAAGAGTGAGTGCTTCCAACCCTGCCTGTCATTCCAAATGGCAGGTGGAACGGAGAATCTGACTAGAATGGGAGCCGGCAGACAGAAGGAAAGAATTGGGAGGGAAACCTGATGTCCTCCCTTTCTTAAAAAGAGTGACTTTAATATCACATGGCCTCCTGTTCATTACGAGGGGAACTGAACAATGTGCCTTCACACACCAAAAGGGAAGGCGAAGGGAAAGCGCGGACCGGGGATGGAAGTGACGGGGAAGGAGATCCGGAAGGATGCAGCACAGACAGTCCCTGAACAAAGGGTGAAAACACATGGCTTCTGAGCCGTGATGATTTCTCGGCGGCCGGTGCTGTGGCCACATGAGCTGCTGTGATTTGTGTGGACATTTACTTGGGCCTTATTTTTGAGCAGTCTTGGCCCATGACATTTTCCATTTTGGAGAACTGGAAAAAAGTCCAAGGTTGGAACCCGTCAAGAGACACAGCACATTATGCATCCTGTCCCATTATATCATTAAAAATTACAGAGGCCAGCAGCTGCCGGCTCTCCTCTCCAAGACGGCAACTATTAGAGCTAAAACTGCAAGCAAGCAAATGAAAAATATGCATATGTGTCTATGTAGATGCCAGATTCTTATGGCAAAAGGGACAAAATTTAGTGGGGATTTGAGCTCTGTGGATCAAAATCCCTCTCCTTATTTTTTTAAAGAGAACAAGAAACATAACATAAGGAATACCTGGATTCATTTTTGTGAACATATGGTGGTTCTTGGAAAAATAAGAATCTTTTACCCCCGCTCATTCCTTTCCAGTGAGACCCTCCCCGTCTGTGTTCATCCTGTGGTCACCTAACAACTCTTCTTTCTCCTTTCCAGTGTGCAGAACATTAATTTTAGAAGTTACAGTCTAATTGGCGAGGCAAGACGAATTAAATATTCTGTATCAAAATGTGTACTCTACTAAACAGAATCGACAAGTTCACATTTCACAGCTTGGCTTCTTTTAACCCTTTAGTGGCTAAGCCTATTGTAAGAAGGCAATTTTAATCATTATCTGCATTGTGCACTCCCTTCTTTTACTGGTTGTCATTTTATTCAACACTCTGATGACCCTGTAAAATTGAAGTTATGTCTAGAGGTATTTTTTCACCTAATAAAATATAAAACGTGCACGCCAACTTCTTTTTATTTTCTTTTTTTCTTTTTCTTTTTCTTTTTTTTTTTTTTTTTTTTTTTTGAGCAGAGGAAGGTTTATTGCAGGGTCAAGTAAGGAGAATGAGTGGCTTGGCTTGAAAAACCCAAACCAAACCAACTTCTTAAGTTTACAGGTACATAAAAACATATTAGCAAGGCAGTGCAGCCCAGTAGAAAAAGGCTCAGACTTTGGAGCTGATCAGAGTGGGCATGACTTACTAAACTATGCAACGTTACTAAACTCTATGGCTCTGTTTGCTAATAATTAAAATACACACAATACTGTTCATATCATAAAATATTGCAAAGTGTAAGTAAGACAATGGAGTAAAGTACTTCATACATGCCTCGCAGAGAAGCTGTTCAATAAACACTTATTGAATGAGCAAATGTCACATCCACTTATAAACCGAAGAGAAATGAGTGCACACTTCTGCAAAGTATTTCCACAAGAATGTACTTGGCGCCTTTATTCAGAAGAGCCAAAAACCGGAATCAACCTATATATCCATCAACAGGAGACTAGATAAACTATTTGGATTTTTAAGCATTAGAGTAATATTTTGTGCATTATAAGCAGGCAAAGAACTGGAGCATTTTAATTGATGTACATGGCACACAGTACTGAAGTCCTTCACTTTGGTCTGCACCTTTTCGTGTCCAAATGTTCAGTTAGATCCCAGAATTACAGGCCTGATGAAGCCCCAGTAACATTTGCTACAAAACTCCCATCAACACAAAGCAACATGCCTGGAATTACACAGCTGTCAGCAGAGTCGAGGCAAGTACCCAGGCGTCCTGACTCCGAATTCAGCCCACTTTTACTGCACTGGTCCCTCTGCTGCTCCATGAGGCAATGCAACATAATGGAAAGAGCTCTGGAACCAATCCTTGGTTCCACCACTGACCAGCCGTGTGACCTCTGTGTGGCCTCACCTCTCTTAGCCCATGGCCCTCCCTCTGTGTTGTGAAGACGTAACAGAACCCACACCGGAGATTCGCTGAAAGGGTAAATGAAATCACGCAAGAGACAGCGGAGACGGTGGCACTGTAATCGCTCGATGAAAATCAAGAGAGTTACATCCTTCAAGGTAAAATTCCACCTGGTATCAAACGAGAGGGAGCTGGGTCGCAGCCAGTTCACAGAAGCCCATCGTATCCTCAGACCAGAAAATTCTATAACGTTCTACTTGAAAGTTAAATGTATTTAAACATCAGTTTTCATTGGCCCTTTCCAAGAAGATATCCCAGCATCTTCTAAAAGCAAATGTCTTTGAATACGTTTGTAAATATTATATTTTATATTCTAAATGAAGGTGTTGGCAGCTTTCTTTTACTAAAGAACATATTTGCATTTTAAAGGCATACTAGATTACCTAGAGATAGATGGAATTTATACTTTTATCAAGTTATTAGGCTGAAATGTTTTGAAAAGGGAAAGCTGTTTGGTTGAGATAGATATGTGGAATTTGTAGCGGGTGGAAAAACACTTTGAAAAGACCACCCAAATAAAGTAGATACATATATACATAGATAGATAGATAGATAGATAGATAAAGGTTGTCACCTAAAACCGTAAGTCGAAGTTGGCAGCAATGCTCCCCCCAACAAAATGCAGGTTTTCATAGGATCAGTGACTCTACAAATAGTCCCATTTCTTTGTCTCTGCCAGCCCTGGAGCTGTCTTTCGTCTTTACTAAACAAAACCTACAAACAAAAGCCAGTTGGTACACAAGCCATCTTCTGACGCTGAAGCATCAGAAGCGGCATCGCGTTTGTTACTGTATGACCCCCCGGGAGCCGGTAACGGGCGCTGGGAGGGGGTGGTCAGAAGCCCTGCAGGTCTGAAGGGCAGCGCCAGACACGTGTGGGCCCGGGAATGGACCACACCTGTACATCAGGAACCAAGTGCTTTTCTTGTCAGGGTATAATTTGATGGTGGTGAAGGCTTTATACGTCCTCTGTTGTTTCTGAAAAGAAATAGGAAATATACTATTTAGATTCTAAGGCAACTAAAATAGAGGCGTTTTGTGGCAGATGGGATTTTTATGAGCTGTTTGTCACCATATAGCAGCCTTGTTAAGAAGCAATCGTTTTCTGCTTCATTACACTAAGATAGCTCTGTTTAGGGTTCCACTCAGCTGTGAAATGATTTTAAAACTTCTGTACGGAGTAGAGATGAGTTTTTTTATATAATAAAAAATTGTTGACAAAAATGTACTAAAACACAAAAAAGTGGCCAAACGCACTATTTTATGTGTCGGGGAAACAGAGATCTGCTGAGTCTCCCACTTATGGTTAATCTGCTCATCTATGCC